AGAGTCATCCTGATAAAGGTGAACACATACAAAAAAATAATTTCTATCATTGTTTAGTATTGAGGCTTTTGTTAAATTTTTTTTTTTTTTAGAGATTTGGCGCATTGAGCGGTTTGGGTTTGTTTGGTCCACTCAGTTTGATTTTCAGTTTCAGCCTTAACAGTCTAAAGGTTTTAGGTTTGGTTTTTTTTCCAGTTCTGTTTTGAAAGTGTGAATACAGTGAATACTAAGCCAAAGGATGTCTGTGGAGATGGTGCAGGGCTCTAGGTTTTGAAATATTTCAACAAATTAAAAAAAATCAGTAAACCTTTTGGTGCCTCTACCTTTCATCGGATCTTAACACATCCTGCAAATGTATGGTCATCTTATCACTGAACAGAAAGGAAATGTGATCCTGATTAGCGTGTGCACACTGTCTACATTATACATGGCTTAAATTGTTTATATCTGAACAATATGAATTCATGTTTATTTAAGGTTTTTTGGAGGGGTTTGTTTTTTTTTTTTGCATGTTTTGTCTTGAGGCAAAACATTACAAAATTACTGCTTTCTGTGAGACCTATCCCTAAGGTACTAGTGCACCGCCTGTAAATACTTATGCGATGGAAAGAATTTAAAACAGCTATTGTTTCCCCCTCCCTGGTTTCTAATAAATTCAACATTTTGTGTGAAAGTGTGGCATTTAGCATGGCCAAGAAGAGTCCTGTGAGATTATGTTACAGTCTGACTCCGGTCCTCAGGAGTCATTAGAGAGCGTTGAAAACTGTGGCTAACACTGTGCTCAGCTCAAGAACAGCAAGTCCTCAGGTTATTGGAGTAAACCATGGCCGATCATATATGTATCCAGTTCAGATTAATTCTATCAAAGATTTAGCAGAGAGCCCAGAGGGAGCAGTAAAATTTTCCCTGAAAGGGCTTAATATTTTTAATTGCATAAAAACAGTGGATTGAAACAGTTTAATATTTTTAACACTGCAAGCACAGAACAGCATAAAATACTGTGCTTTCAAATAAACATAATGCCCTTAACCTTTTCATCATAAATGTCCTCTGCCGGTGATGTTTTTAATAAAAGGACAGATCCCCCCCTTGCCCTTTGTTAACATGGTTTGTCCCGTGCTGGCTGTAGATTTCCATACAGTGGACTAGTTTGTGCTAGAGTTGGGGGATGGGTGTTGCCATGCAACAGTCTGTGCAGGGTACTTTCCCTCTGTCTGTGCGCTGCTAGCTAGTGTTGTCATTGATAATCACTACGCTACATTTAAAAATGATAAAAGGATTAAACTTGCATGTATTTATGGCAAGCTGTAAATAAATCTTGCTACTGTGACAGCAGGAAGGGAGGAAAACATTTAGCGGCTCATGTTATGCAACAAGACACGTTGCTGTGTCAGGAGTGCTCAACAGGCTTTTCATTTGAAAATGGTTTAATTAATAGCTAGTACAGACTTTATAAAGACTTTATATGACTGCAATGTGCTTGATGGACTGGTCCTAACTGAGCCCCTCCTCTCTTTTGTAGTCTGCTGTTGGCCTCTTACCCAGTGCCTGCTTCACAGTCAGTAGGCCCCAATCCTACATAACCTGCTTTTAAATTGTGGGTTTTTAAATTAGTTTTTAAAGTATTTCAACAGTTAGAGTCTCTCTGTTATTTAAGTTGACGTCTTTTTAAGAGATCTCAGGTTCTCCTAATGAGATTTTTTAACTTGAAGATCTAGAAGATCTTTTAACTATGTTTTATTTTAATAGAAAGAAAGATTTTTTACTTCACTCAAAAAGGTAGCATTTCGACAGTCTGTCATCATCCCCTCAAAATGTAAGTTGTAAATCTCAAATAACAATATACTGTAATAACACAGCTGCCCAACTGTGTTGTCTTAGTCCAAAGCGGGCTTTCTTGGCTTGAGTTGCTGATAAACACGTGTGTTTTCTTTGAACTCACTGATTTATTTGTTCATGCTGACCCGTGGTACACTCACACACTGTTTCTAGTGTTTAATGGTGCACAGTGGACAAACAAACAAAGTAACGAGGGATTTAACATTAACTGAAATCTGTAGGTCAGCCAGAGATGTGACGATGAATAACTTCGCGCTTGGTCACAAACATGCTCGACAGCGTGTGTTGGTGGAAAGGCCAAGATGTTAAGCCAGGTTGTCTTATGTTGTCTTGAAAACTGATGATCAAGATGTCATTAAGTATGACCGTGTCTTCCATCTGTACCAGCGATGTTCTTCCATGTTCTGAAAGAGAAGGTTTTGATGTTGCATGTAACCACAAAGTATGAATGTCAAGTCTTGATTGTTTGCTTGGCTGCTAAAAGACTGAAGAAGGTTAGAGGTTTTCTTGCTGCAACACAAACTCCTCTCCAGTCTCTCAAAGCAAGTGACCTTGCTTCTGCTTTATTTGGAAGTAGTTATGCTTGTAGTCGAGATTGACAGAGTTTGTAATCGGCAGTTTAATGACCGCTTATCGGGGGCTGACACAGTGAGTTTCAAGGAATACTTCTAAAGGAATGAGCAGCTATTTTGTAACTTGGAGTAAAGATTTGTTTAAGTCCAAGGATGGAGTCTGAATATCTCTCCATGGCTCTTTCCTTTGATGCACCCTCTGTAGCTTCAAATAAATGAAGCAGTTGCTGTTCATATTTAGTAAGCTGTTAGTCATAGCCTGGCTTAGAAAACATTGCAAAAATAAAACGCAAGTGTTAAATTAAAAAGTGCATCTGTGCATAGTAAGATCCTTGAACTCGGTTTAATCACATAGTTGTGTTTTTAAGGACACAGAAACAGTGGGTGTCTTCTGTTTCAGTAGTCAGTGGATTCTCTCTTGGGAAACATTCACAACTTGTATGAATCGTCATTTAGTGATTTGAATTCCAATCTATAAACCTTCATGTGTTGGCTTTCCTGTGGGTTTCTGTTGTGTGAAGTTTGATTAACGTTGTGCTGTTTCTGCTGATTTAGGATAAATAATTTTTTTTAAAATAGTGTTTACCTTTTTTGGCCTAATTTGGAGTGAAGATTAAATGCCACACCCTGATGCTACTCATACATGTTATGACTGCTTTCTGCACTTTACAGGGGCAAGATGACTAGTTCTCGTAGCTGCAAGCAACTATTAAAAATCTATGCACTGAGCGTTTATACACAGAACTGCGCTTTTTTACAGTCTGTGTACATTTTTAAAGACCATAACAATGATTAATAATAAAACCTGACAAAATCGACTCAATACTTTTTCTGCTTGTTTTATAGCAATAAAAAGGTTGGATTTAAAGATCACTTTAATAATATTATCAGCAAATAACTGAGATTATGTTTGGCTTAATTAGCACTTTCTTTAAATGTTCTACAATTTGTTCACAATGTGACAGCTTGCCGAAGTCTCAGGCTGAATAGAAAACTCTTGCTAAGCAGAGTTGTGCTGCAACCTGATACACCTGAATGAGAATCCTTCTCAGCTAGCTACTGAGAGCTCGGGCTGACATTAAACAACAGATCCAGCGGCCATTTTGAGTTCCTGCACTAAATCCAGGAGCAGTAAATGAGGCCGTGGGACGGGGGAGGGGGATAGTCGGCTCTGCGCAGTGTGCAGTAACACTGGAATGTGAAGCAAACCAATAATTGTTCTTGCAGTTTTCACTGCTCCACATATTTGTGAACGCTTTTTTAGGAGTTTTTTTTTCTGATTCTTCTTGTTTTTCAGGTCAGATCTTTTTTAGGCAATTGTATTGAAATGCTGCCTTACTTATTTTTAGAACAATAGGAAGGAAAACAGCAAGAAACATGCATGCTCATGTAAAAACAGAGTAGGGAAGGCCTAACATATTGAACGTGTGTACAAACATCTCACTGTGCTGCTCAGCATTAAAGCTGGAGCTGTATGCTCAGTCCACATTAGTCTTTGTGTTTTTCCATATACATGTGGCAGCCTGCTAAGCTTCAACATACACAAGGCTAAATGAGAGATTTTTGCAAGTTGAGGCTGTTTTCCCTCGGTTCTCTCTGCACCATGTGAGTACTGCAGTAGCAGTAAAGCTAACCAAGTTTACAGTGTGAAACTGACACGGCTTACTGCTCATTCCTGGTCGGAGTTTAAAGGTTTCTCATGTAGTAACCACTTTTTTTGTTGTGTTTTTGCACTGAAACCAGTATAAAGACATGGCTGTTTGAGGTTCCTACCATCTGAATGTCTGTTTTTGCTTTTTACCACTAGAAGCGACAGTCTGATCTTAGCAGCTGGGGGAAAAATAAGACCAAAAATATAACAAAACTGTCAGTGACTGCATGTTTTTGTTTTTTTCTTCTTACCTGTACATAATTATGTTTTGTTTTTTGGGTTTTTTTTAAGTTCAACCTTTCTGCAGTAAAACATCTTTTTCTGTCCATCATTCTGGCAAACCACTTTCCTGTTTTGCGTCCTTTTGTGTTAACCTTTTGTGTGTTTGTCACCACTTTGGCGACCTTCACCAGTTTGTCACCACTCTATTGGTGTTCTTCTTAAGCCTCTTGCTTGCAGATAACTGAATAATCACCCAAAATATAATTGTGATATTACGTTATTGTGTTTACCTTTGAGTAATTTTTGCCTTGTGAGTTACTGAATTTTGAAAAAAAAAAAATAGTTTCGAGTTTTGTCACGTCATAAATACTATTCCTAAAAAATTCCAAATTAAGGCAATTTCATTTGCTTTACCAGCACGAGTAAGCGAAAGCTGGTCACGACCGATAATTTTACACTGCAGAAACAAATGTAAGGAAGAAGCATCAGTCTTATCAAAATCCGGGATTTAGTGTCCTTAGTCTACTTTACTGTATGCTATTTTAAATCTGGATATAAATAAGTATGTTAAAAAATACAGTAATTGACATAATTGCACTTTTAGTTGATGCAATTCATATTGACCTGGAAAAATATATCACTTTGAAGCCAAAGAGACAGTTAGAGCTCAAGTTACTAAGACATTTGCTAACAAATTATTCTCATTTGTCCTTCAGGTTGTCGACAAGTCCTGTATTAAGTCCATTGTCAGGAACCCTTTGGCTTGAAGGTGAGTTCTAAATACTTTTTCTATGCTACTTAATATTATAACACATGAGTGTAAAAGAAGAAAATTACTGCAAGTAAAGTATCTCCTGCACACAGCTCAGGTTCATTTTTACTTCTGACACCCATAAAATGAAGGTAAAATCAACACATGCTTCCATGCATATAAAATAAGTAGACATGAAATGAATCCTTGTAGAATGTGACAACTAGCCTTAACAGTAAATTGTGCACAACAATCACAACTATACGGAAAGTCCTTCATGTTTTGCATAACCCTTTTGCTGCTGCCAGCACAGCCTGAATGGGTCCGTTCTGATTTGCTGACGAGGGAACCAATAGGAGGATGGGGGGATGGGAGGAAGGTTGAGCTGCTGCTGTTGTTAACTCGTGCCACTTCTGTTCTCAGGATTGGGGCTTAGGTAAACATGAAATCCGTAGTTTTTCAGAAAAGTGAGGTAGAGGGGATTTGCAGAAGCAAGTTTAGCTTTTCTGACTACCATGAAAAAAGGTTTCCTGGCTTACTGAGCTGCTTGTTGACTTAAGTCACTGTAGGACAGATGAAGCAATGTGTAATCAGATGGATGAGTGTGATTTGGCTTGGATGCTGAGTTAAATTTGTAGTAAAGGAACGGGCTGCTAAGGAACCATCAGTTTGGTGCAGAGACAGCTGTGACAGAAGAACCTTCCAGAAAGAAAAAGCTAATGCCAAAGAGCTCTGCAGTGTCCTCTAGTGTTTTCTCGGAAACGGTGCACCCAATACTGTGCAATGCGTAAAGATCAGAATCAGGAAAGGTTAATTAGCGGAAGACACTGTGCCATTAACTTTTACAGCTCTAGGTGTTGTCTGTTCTCATTAATCCCTTCTGAATGCATGTTATCTATTATCTCTACTCCACAGGCAAAGATGGAAGTTATTGTGACAGAAGAGAAGAAGAAGATTTTCCGCGCCAGGAAAACCATGAAGATCAGTGATAGACATCAGCTGGAGAACCTGCACAGCACTTTGCTCACTGTGGGTACAAGTTTGTCCAACCCATCTCCACCACCTCTGATGAATGGAACACATAAAGAGGACGGACAAAAAGTGGGCGACAAAGAGCAAAACAACATCCTGGACTTGAACACTCCCCAGACTACACCACCCGTCTCTCCGACCGCTCTGAGCTCTCCCACACCGTCCCTGTCCCTAAATTTGTCTCCTTCCCCTCCCTCTTCAAGTCCAAAAGGACTCGAAGAAATGACTGCTCCGAGATCACCAGTGGATCCTCTAAATTTTGAACTGAAAAAGGTAGAAGAAGATGAGAAGAAAGATGGCACACCATCATCATCAAGTGAACCTGTCACAGCTAGAACAGACTGCAAGGGACAACAGGAAAAAGACACTGAGGTGATCCCAGCTGAGGAAAAGAAGAAGGTAAATGCATGGAAACATGAACAAAACTGTCAGATACCTTTATATTTATTTTAAAAAATTAGTTTATACTGTAGTTCGTATTGCAAGTGGAGAGCCCGAAAAACGTTTAATTGGTTATCATTTTTAATTTTCTCAGGAGGACCACACTGTAGAAGAGGACCCAGCTGTAGATTTGGCAGTGGACCCACTGAAAGGTTTGGATACACCTGTGCCACCTGCAGTATCTGACTTCACAGAACCAATGGAAACAGATAGTGACACTACAAAGGAAATGGACACTGAGGCTTCCACAGCCAAAGTACCAGATGAAAAGCCTTCTTCTCCTAAATGTACCACTTCCGACTCTTCCTCATCTTCTTGCTCTATACCCAATCCAGCTTCTTCTTGTGCGGACCAAAAACAATCAGTGGAAATCAAAGATGACATAAAAGTAGAGACTGACAAAGCGGATGTGAAGAAAGGCTTGACGTGTGAGGAAAAGATGGAGGTGGGCTCTGTAAAAGTGGAGCCCAAAAAGGAAAAAACTAATGTGGGACAAGCCTCAAAGCCATCTCGACCATCGTCCACTCCACCATCTGATACAGGTATGAGATGGTGGATGTTGCAACGCAAAAAGCAATTATATACTACATGACATGTGAATAGGATAATGTAACACTGTACTCAAAACATAAATGATTTGATAAGATTTCAAGTCAGAATGCAGAATCCTTGCATACTTTACCATGGGATAAATCGGCTTCCTCTGATCCTGAAGGGAAAAGTTGGGTGGTTTCTTTTTCGGAAAATTGTCACAGGAAATTTATCATTTGAGGATTTTACTGCAATAAATTTCCTGGATGATATTGCAGTTTGATATGTGGAACTCTTTCGCAGTTCTTGGAGTTGGAGGAAGTTGTGCCTTTTTTCTGTGTGACTGCAGGAGTAGGAAAAGATTGCAGTTAGTACTCTATATTTGGTGTTGTTTTTACTTGAGGGTAGGGACTCATCCAGCACAAGAGGACCCTTTGTAAGTTTACAGGGATTCGTTTAGACTTCAGTTCATATGCTGATTGGTCAAACAAACAGAAGAAGAAAAAAACACCAGGTGTAAACACTGGAAAAATGTTAACCATGTAAACAACGGCTCTTATTGCTAGCTTGTAAAAAAGAAAACGGCGTCACAGAGTAAGGAACCACTGGTAAAGTCCATATGAATATGGACTCAGTTTATATTAGGACATGCCTTTGATTCAATTACTAACCTCTGATCAGCTTTTACATAACTTCAGCGTTCATAATGGCAGTATCAATAGAAACAGAAAATAAAGCCTTCAGAGGTATGCAGTTCTTTTTGAGGGCCCCGGGTCACTGAAAGGGAGACCCAACAAATGTTCTTATTGAAAGTAACTTACTGGTTCTGTGTTAAGTTTAAATATTTTGGTGTTTGTCTTTGTTTGCTAAGCAGTGAAAGAGGAGAGGAGCTCAACCTCGGGACTGAAACGCACTTTATCGGAGGGCTCTGAAAAAGATGGGCAAACTGTAAAAATAGAGGGTAAGAGGCCCAAGATGGACCGTGAGGAGTTGGAGGCCCAACTGGAACTTAAAATTACTACAAAAGCTGGCAGTCATCATAAACTCGGGAAGGTTTGTATTCGAGTATTCAGATATGCTTTTACTCTAATAGCTTTTAAACACTGGTTGCATTAAATCCATTCACACATACAGCATAATTGATGCCGACTTCATTTTTTTCACAGTGCTCTGTGGCCTTAATTATAATAATTTTGACTGATATAGCTGAGCTTGGATAAATATAAGTTTCTCTTCACCAATTTTCTTAACATTTCATCCCTTTCACCTCATTCTTCTTCGCAGATTGTGCAGCAGTTAGTGGAGGAGCGATTGAAGGTGTTGGAGCTCACCATTTTTGACAAACATTTCCAAGAGCTGAAGGACAGAGTAGACAAAATTGACTGCGCCACTAAACACCAAGCTGCCATTAACACACTCCAAGTGAGTGCAGGTTAACTTTTTATGTGAAATTAAATTTGTCCCATAAGGAGAACATGTTGGGCATTGGAAGATGCTCTGCTTCCATTTGACAAGTATCTAAAGTCTACTTGGTGTTTCTCTTCAGGCCAAGATTGCCCGACTATCAAAAAAGTTTGGAGAGGCTAATCAGGTATCGGAGAATAAAAGGAAACAGGAGGTAAGATGTTTTTTTGTAACTTGTTAAAATGTTTCCATTTGGCATGCAGGTGATGAAAAATGTTGAAACTTCTTATTTGTTTTCTACAGGCACTTGCTGCTGTTGCTGCTGCTACTGCTGCCAAAACGGCAGCGGTTACGAATAACCCTCAAGCTCAGCGGTAAGTGTTCAGGACTCATTTTCAGTCTAGATCCCTGTCAGCTATGCTTTGTATGTTAAGTCATGTATTTGAGAGGCAAATCTCCATGGCTTTTTTAAAAGACATTTTAGTCCCTTCAGTGGACGTTAACACCTTTTGACAGTCCACTTGTCAGTCTGATTTTGAGGTTTCAAAACTGACAGCATCAGTGTACTTAAACATGTAATCTTTGAATCATACAGCAGTTTGTGCATGATGATATTTTGTGTGAATATAATTTTGCTTTTGTATGAACGTGACAATACCGGACTAAAGCAAGTACTTACTACACACGAAACCGTTACACTGTGAATAGTTGACATTGTCCCGGGTTGCTAAGTGTAATCACTAGATTACAAACAAATGGACAGAATATCAATCTTTACGTCCTCTAAATCCATACTTTTTTGGAAACAAGAATCCATGTCCCTTGTTCGGTTTGTCAGGACCATCTTTTTGAAAGTCTTAATTTCGCTCCAAATATTTTTAAAGACTTGTTTGGAATAAACAAACACATGCCCCAGTGTGTGTTTTGCACCTGCAAAGTAACCCCACATGGGTCCAGGTCCTGAGTCTTGTGACGTTCTACAATATGAAGCCTGAGCGTTTCTTCAGGCAGTGCAGAGTGTAGTTAAAACTGCACCTCTCCTCCCAACAGCGTGCTCCGTCGACAGACAATAGAGCCGCAGCCTGAGGTGCCCAGAGAGGGATTGGTGCCCTCTGTTGATAAGACTCCGGCACTGTCTGTCAAGATGGAGGGAGAAGACGAGGAAATGGAGGAGGAAGAGGAAGCAGATATGTCCCGCCATGTTGCCATGGCGAGAAAGCTGGCAGAGTACAATGAAGGGAAATGCAGAGCAGACATTAAACTCCGCACGATTCCCTCGCACTTGGAAAACGTGCTCTACCACAACTGCAAGAGAAGCTCAGGGAACCCAAGACCTGACCGCTACGCCTCGTACATTTTCCGCTACTTAGTGCCATACGATGTCTACTGTGACTGGGTCGCAAAGGTCAACTATGTTGGATTATTGGGCAAAGAGGCCTTGCCCGTAAACTTGAGGAGGGCGATGAGGATGTACATTGAGCGTCGATTTCCTGTGCTGTCTTGTGAGAAGTGGAGAGAAATTCGAGACGTTATCAATGAAATACTGCGAGTAAAGAGAAGGCCGGAGTTTTTTCGAGAGTACGAGGAAAGAACTGGCATGTCGTTTTGACGCTTGAACGCCACAGGAACTGAAGCATACTGGGACAATTGTCATTATTCGTGGTAGAACATATATAAACATTTTGTCAAAATATCACCCTCCAGTCACTTAGATCTTTGTAGGTGTTCTTAAAAATTATCATGTTGAAAAGGATATTAATCTCTGCTGACAGACTTTGTGAAGTTGGCACCATGCTTGAAGAGAGCGAACTGCAGTTAAATACCGATGAATGATTTTGTGAAAACTCGGACACACGCTTTAAGTTTGATTCTCGTTCCTACCACAAAGATGACTGTGTTACATGGAATAAATCTAAATGTCAACACCTTACCTCATTCACTCTTCATCCTGTAAAGGACATAAGCAACTTCAAGTGTCAACAACTCTAAGTATCAGCAATCTTTCTAAACAGGCCAGGCTGGACTTCCATGGAGGTAAAGCAGACATCCACAACTGTTTCTTCATCCAGCACAGCAGGTGAGTAACAAAGATCTGTCTTTAATTTTTTTATGGTAAATGTTGTGTACGTTTTGTTTGTTTGTTCTTTGACAGAATTAATGGCTTCTTGTGGGAGTTTTGAAACTTTAGCTTTTTTCTTCATGTGGGTTTGCATGTTGTTCGTTCTTTGTGTGTACTTGAAGCCTGACCAGTGTTGGATATTTGGGACCTATTCCCAGGTTTTAGGTAGTACAAATTCAGGTATTGGTGTATTGGCTAAACAATAAATGAAAATGGGATCCAGTGCAAGCTGTGACAGATAAAGCTAGGATTTGACACAACAATGCAGTCATTTCAGAACAGTTTAGAGTGATCTTCAAATAATAGCCAAAGTATACTATATCCCTAATGCATACTTACACAGTTAAACAAATGGCACATTAGACTTGTCCTTATCTATTTACTTTCTAGCAACAGAAAGTTGCTTTTGTCTGCTTCGTTATTTATGAGCGGCTTCCACAGCAGAGATCCCTGCATGTTTGATTTGGCAGATTTCTTTATGGCAGATCTGATAGTTTACTTCACAAACCTAACTGTTGTGTTATTTTGAAGACATGGCTCAACTTTGCACCATAGTTTGCTCAGTTCTGACGCATACTCTGCTGCATGTGCTGCAAATAGCGGTGAGGCTTTTGTAAACAGCAGAGTCAAAGCCTCTTTTTTTATTCTTTATTTTTTGTTTTTTTCTTCAGGAAAGTGTTATAGTTATTATAGTTCTGTATTTTCTAATTAGTTTTTATTTTTCTTTCATTTTAACCTTTTGTTTAAAATTCCATCTAGTTAGTTTGTTTTAGTATTTATTTGTTTTACACTTAGTTTGGATCTTTATAATTATTTATGTCCGAGACAAGATTTAAGAAAATCAGTACAGCAGTTAGAATCAAAAAAACACTGAACTTTCTGAAAATGGATACAATTTTTACCAAACATTATAAGTACTAAACTTTCTCCTACACTCTTTATTTTATTTTGATTAGTTTTCACATTTTTTTTTGGAGAAGTCTTGTTTTTATTTAGTTTTCACAATACACCGAAACCTTCAGAAATAAGAAAACAGTCGACTTCTTAGTAAGTGTTTACAATGTAGCCAATTATATATAGGAAAAAAATATTGCCTAGTTTTAATTTTCAGCAATGTTAATTGAGTTTGGTTACAGAAACACCGCGAAAGTGAGCGTATCAAACTTCTGGCTGCTCTTTAATGTTTATTCCTGTTAAGAAGCCATGTTTGTAATTGGAAGTTTATTGACCATGACAGAATTACAGAAAATAGGTCATCTTACCTTTCATGTTTTCCAGGAGCAGAGTGGAAAAGTGTCATTGAATTTGTCTGCATGTTGTATTTTTGCATAGATGTCTCAAAATCTTTTGTCCATGTCATGCTGGGATGGGTTTTTAACTGCCATCACCTTTACTAGCAATTAACAAATGATTGACAGTCTTTTGAGCAAAAGTGTACCCTGTGCAGATATTTTCAAGTCTCTTCTAACAAGTCTCTTTCCCCCCCAGTAGTTCCAGTTCCTACCGCAACCCATGCCGCAGCTTCAGCCCCTGCTGCAGCTTCAGCTCCAACTCCCACCTCCACTTCAACTGCCATGGTTCAGCAGACCCCTATCCTCCAGCTGATCACTTCCACCTCTAATCCCACCTCCACCTTGGCCACTGGCAGTACCACCCAGAGTCAAACGGGCACCCTCCTCTTGAAGACTGCCCCTGGGAGTAGCATGATGGCTACAGGCCAGCCGCTTCTCATCCAGTTGCCTTTATCAGTGAATGGCCAGGCAGGGACACTGGTCAACATCCCCGTCTCGTCTTTGTCTGCAGCCAGCTCACTGAACAAGTCCAAAACCACTGCTTCTACCGCCACGTTTATACTCAAGCCTGCACCTGTCACGACCACAGCCACAGCCTCGGCACCAGCCGTGGCCACTGTCCCAGCCCTCCATGGCTCCAGTGCCCAGATGTCCTCTGGCCAGATCTCTCTTGCTCGTGCTGTGTATCAAGGCGGTGCAAGTGGAATAACTACACCCCATGCTGGGGTATCTGTGACCACGGCCAGGACACCAGCTCAGTCTGTCTCTGTAGTCGGGGCCATGTCTTCAGTCTCTTCACCTACAACATCTGGGCCAGCAGCAACCGGATCCACTGCTCCAGGACCTCCACAGGGGATGTCTTTGACATCAAAGACAGGTGAGGATGACTGAAGAGCACGGAGGTGCTGCTGACATTTCATTTTCCTTAACTTGGTATAGAGCTGGGCGATATGAGATTTTTTCATATCACGATATGTTTTTTTCATTTCAGGCGATAACGATATCTATCACGATATAAGCCAAATAACTATATTTGTAAGATTTAAATGTGCCGTTGCTCACAAGTAAAATGTGAAATAATCAGCAGCTTGTTTTTATTTAAATATTTATTTCCCATAATAAGTTCAACAGGGTAGATGTACTTAAGGAACATGAGACTTTTTCAGATAAATAAAGGCAAATATTGCAAACTACACAAAAGGCAGCCGCTAAAGCGTTTAAGTTTCAAAATAGAACAAACGAAACAGACTACTAAATTGTCAATTCCACTTAGAAACAAAATATTAATTCTAAAAATAAATCTTAGTTTGTTTTACAGAAGAACAGACAAAACTGACTAACTTTTGTCAATATCAAATAAACTGAGAACTAAAAGGAAATTCTCAATCTCTCCTTGTTGTATAGCTTAGCTTTTCAAACAGTTTTAACAGTTACTTTAGTCTGACAAAAGCCGAATGACGAATTAGCGCTTCCAGTCAGACACTGAGGCTACGTCCACACGTACACGGGTATTTTTGAAAACGGAGATTTTCCGTTTTCGTTTTAAAAAATAATCCCGTCCACACATAAAGGCAGAAATGAAGGAAAACGCTGCTATGAACATGCCAAAGCAGCAGGTGGCGCTAGATTCCTAACCGTGCAGAAATGTTGGCCAATCAGAAGTCTAGAAGCCTCGGTGGGAAAAAGTAAACAAAGCTGGGGCATAGAAGCAGAACCGAGTCGTATGTGTGGACGGACAGTAACTGTGTGTATATGTAAGCATTTAAACACTGCAGAGAGTAGAATTAACAGTAACAGTATTGTAGAAATTCGTTTCACCGAAACAATAATGTGGCGCACAGTGTGACGCATGCACCAGTTTATTGTATTTCCAGACTTGCTTTCGGCACAATTTACAGTGCACGCTACTCTGTTTTTTGTCAGACTTGAAATAGCCGAAATACCTTCACACTACGGAACTTCTATGGCTCTTCCGTTCGACAATCTCTCCGGCATTGGAACCATCATCTGTTTTCTCTTCGGTCACGCTCGGTTGATTTTTCTAGTCGGCACACTCATTTCCTCCATTACGCACTGGCTCCATTACGCGCTGGCTGCTTCCCAAACAAACACACGTGCGGCTTGGCACTTGTGCTGTACGTAACAAGTCACGCGACGTGACGCTGCGGCTGTGATTGGTTCGGCTCTGCGCTACTTAATTTGGATTGTGACTTTTTTTTTTTTTTTTTTTTAGAGGACAAGAGCGGCGAGGTCTATCGCGATAGCTTAATTTCTCTATCGAGTAAAAGTTATATCGCGATACATATCGTTATCGTTCTATCGCCCAGCTCTAACTTGGTACTAAATTTAGATTGTTTTGTATTTCTCAGACAACCAAGTTACAGTAACCGCTGCATCTAAAGCAGCTGCACCAGCGGCACGACCCAAAGGCTCCGTAATTGACCTCACCGAGGACGATGATGATGTCCAAGGTTAGAGTTGGCGAACTTTTTGTTTTGTTTTTACTTCCCCTAATATATGTTATTAAGGCTAATTATGTTATGTTTTATGGTTTTCAGTGACTGGAGTGAAGAATGCTACTGTTACAACTCCCTCACCGAGCCCACGCACTAACCCAGTCATCAGCATCCACAACAGTAAGAGCACCAAATTACACTAAACAAATTTTATCACTCTGGCAAATTATAAAGTATCTAGTAATTTAGGCAGATGCCTATGCATATGTATCCTGTGCTTTAATTCTAACTTATACATATAATCTGAGTTTCTTGTTTTGTTTGCTTTTGTTTTTGTTTTCAGATACAGGAGCAAGAGCATCCCCTCTAAGCAATCAGAACAGTTCTGGCAATCCTCAGTTGACAGTACATCACCGCCCCCCAGTGGTGGTGAGCTTTTAGAACTGGATTCTAAATATTTCTCACACATGCACTTCACTACTTTTCTGTTCTGTAACTTCAATGTTTAAGTCTTGGTGAATTGTTATTTTAACATGATTTGCTGATGGTTGGTTTCTAAAGCTATTATTAGATTTTTCTCTGTTGAAAACTACAGCTGTTAGCTGTTTTGGGAGTTATCCAAGCACGAATGATCCTTTTGCCACAACTAAAAGGAAAGAACAAGCTGTGACACCAGATTTCTTTTTTTGCAGGATACTCCATTAAAATCCCGCAGTGTAACCACTACTACTACACCAACTCGAGGCTCCAGCATGGCGCTTCCACCGCTCCCTCCTGCACCCGCACCATCACGCTTACCCCCAGAGGCTGAACGGACCTCACCTCCTCAACAACCTCAGCTAAAGCTGGTGCAGAGTCAGACTGGTATAGTGCTCTCCTGGTGTGTTGGAGAAGTTGATCGGACCTGCGCAGCTGTAGAAAGCTATCACCTTTATGCCTTTCATCAAGATAACTCTAACAGCAATGCATCTCAGCAGCACTGGAAGAAAATTGGGGAGGTGAAGGCCCTTCCACTGCCTATGGCCTGTACGCTGACCCAGTTCCAGTCTGGCTCCACGTATCACTTTGCTGTTCGAGCCAAAGATGTATATGGGCGCTTTGGCTCTTTCTGCGAACCTCAGTGCACAAATGTCATCAGTTCCAGCTCTAGTTGAACCGTTACAGAAAAGACATAGCATTTTGCCTTTGATAGTTTATGACTTTTCACCTGTTTTGTGTTAGGAACTGAAATATTGTACGCTGGACAAAAACAAACACCTGTAAATGTCTTCCCATATAACAACTGGGCAACAAACTGACTTGGAGAGTTCAAGTGGCAAACAGTTGGTTTTGTCTGACTCATCATATGTAATGTGTTTTTTGTGACTTAAGCTGTTGTGTATATAAGTTGAAAAAGTTTGCCCCTCCTGCCAGATCAGGTATTTGTGTTGTTCGCTCCTGATCTTCAGACCCAGATCTTTTTTTTTCTTTTTTTTTTTTCTTCCTCTTTTACTTGACAGGATTTTTTTTTCCATGTAAACTAAATTGCACAGAAATGTATAAATGTGTGGTAGAAACAGAATGATAACTTTTGTAAGTTTTGTCTGGCAACCAGACTTTCACAAGCATAATAAAGAGGTTTTATTAAAGTCAGCGACAGGTTAAATATTCTGTATTTAATGCCATAGCACTCCTCTGCAGTTAGACTTTAGTCACCTAGGCCTAGAGAGCCTGGATGACTCCTTTGTAGTTCCCATAGGATTGGCAAGTTGTTCATAGAGGTTTGTGGGTGATGCTAGGTGAAATCTGTTTCAAAGAGTGCTGCATCCACAACGTTCTTGTGATTGCCCAATTTGTGCAGACAAATCGTCACCGACACAGTGGCGACTGCCAGCAACCACTCACCAGCTGGTTGTGGGATACATACTTTTCCTAAACAACCTGGGGTTGCCAGTGGATCACTGACTGATCCACTGGCCTATGTGAATGAGGCTTCAGCAATCGATCTCAAAGCAACTGTCAACACCAGCTCCAACTGGTCAGGGGTTCAGGGAACGTGTGTGTGTGTGTGT